TAAATGTCTTTTTTTTTTTACTGTTTCTCATATTTAATATTGCTTTTTTAAAGTTTATTTTTGAGAGACAGAGAGAGAGAGCGAGTGGGAGAGGGGCAGAGAGAGATGAGGAGGGAGAGAATCCCAAGCAGGCTCTGTACTGTCAGCACAGAGTCTGATGTGGGGCTGCTCCAGCTCATGAACTGTTGAGATCATGACCTGAGCCAAAACCAAGAGTTGGACGTTTAACTGACTGAGCCACCCAGTCCTCCCTCTCATATGTTATATTTTTAATAATTTGGCATTTATACAGCACTTTGTAATTCACAAAATACTTACATGGATCTCACCTAGGCCATTTGCTACTTAGGTTAAATTACTTGTCCAAGGTCTTGTCAGTTTATTTATTAAGCATTTATTGTGTGCTGGGTATTTTTCTTAGTGCTTTGTCAATGTTAACTCGTTAACTCAAGGTAGGTATTGTTACCTTCTTCATTTTATAGACGTAAAAACTGAGGCATTATGAGGTAAAGGAGCTTGCCAAAAGTTGAACATAGTAGTCAAGTGGAGCTAAGATTTGAATCTAGGCAGTCTGGTTGCAGAATTTACACTCTTAACCACTGTTTCACTGCCTCTTAGTAAATGTGGGAGTAGAAATTCAAATCCAAATTCAAACTAGACTTTGGTAAATGATAGTTTCTTATTTTCAGTCTCCCCCTGTGTACCCCTTCTTCACCTTATTAGAAATAATTGGACCACCAGGCACACTGAAAGCCTTCTATAAGTGACAGTTTAGTTGTTGACAGGACTGGATTTGTGTTTCTTGTAACTTGAAACATTACTAGTTATTTAGAGTTTTATATTAAGTTTGTAGTAAAGGTACTTTTTAAAAAATTTGTTAACCTGTGACTTTGAAAAGAGCAAAATGGTACTTTTATCAGCTCAGGATAGAAATATCTTTGATATTTGATCCTCTGGACTGGGCTTTGCTGTGGTGTGTCATAGCTACTGCTAATTTAACCTCTAGTTTACTGTTTAAATTCTCTTTTTAATTATTTATTACCTTTTTTGGAAGGAATTTGCATTCCATATAGACAAGAAGACCCTGTACATTTTGCTGGCTGGAACTTTATATGAAACACATTTTGTTTGAAAGGATGGGTGGTTAGTTTTGCCTTGGATAGGTAACTATCTTGTAATTATTTCTCAGATTAAGTTACTGTGATCATGGTTGTGCTTTGACTGGAGGCTTGCTACCTGTGATATACAAGGCTGATTTGAAGGCAAGGATGGAATTTGAATTAACCAGAATCCAGAAGGAACTTAATTAGAATGAGAAAGACAATTGAGTCAAATAGTTTAACTAGCTATTGGACCTGAATTTCTGTAAATAGAGTGAATTTTATGTGAAGAGCAATGAGGAAGTAAATTGCAGGAAATTAATGGGCAGCTGTTAGTAAGGGTGTGTGCCATGATAATATGAGGAGAC